TTCTCTTCTCTTCTCTTCTCTTCTCTTCTCTTCTCTTCTCTTCTCTTCTCTTCTCTTCTCTTCTCTTCTCTTCTCTTTTTTCTTGCTTTCTTGCTCTTGCTTTCTCTCTCTCTCTCTTTTGTTTTTTGTTTTTTGTTTTTTTTTTTTTTGTTTTTCGAGACAAGGTTTCTTTGTGTAACCCTGGCTGTCCTGGAACTCATTCTGTAGACCAGGCTAGCCTCAAACTCAGAAATCCACCTGCCTCTGCCTCCCAAGTGCTGGGATTAAAGGTGTGCGCCACCACCGCATGGCTCTTTCTTTATTATTTACACTCCAGATTTTATTCCCCACCTGGTCCTCCCTCCAACTATTCCACATCCCATACCTCCTCCCTACCCCCTGTCTCCATGAGGATGTCCCCTCCCCCACATCCAACCAGACCTCTAAACTCCCTGGGGACTCCAATCTCTTGAGGCTTAGGTGCATCTTCTCTGACTGAACCCAGACTCTGGCAGTCCTCTGCTGTATATGTGCTGGGGGTCTCATATCAGCTGGTGTATGCTGCCTGGTTGTTGGTGGTTCTTAGAGAGCTCAGGTGTCCAGGTTAGTTGAGATTGCCTGTCCTCCTACAGGGTCACCCTCCTCCTCAGCTTCTTCCAGCCCTTCCCTAATTCAACCACAGGGGTGAGCAAAATGCATTCACTGTGAGAGGCTTTCTATACTTACTGTGTGTTTGCAGACAGCTTGTTCTGACCTGTGCTTCTCCTGCTTGTCTATGAGAACACCTAGCACAAAGATTTATGGTGGATATGATTCTTTCTTTAATAGAAGAATCTAGAACAGAAAAGTAGCAACGTAAATACCAGCTTTCCTTTTGTTTTTAGTTAATTCTCTTTTTGACAGCAAAAATTATCTTGCCAATAACTCTAAATTGGACTGAAAACTTTGTTTATGGTTCTTATTCTCTACAGGGCAGTTTTGGATTACTGTGCTTTATAACAAGTTATTTAAAAAAAAAAACCTCTGCATTATATTCAGTGACTGTATCTTTACCAAGAATATATAAGGTGTAACTCTGAGCATTTGAATTAAAAAAATAATCACTTAAACAAAACTACCCCAAAGCTTACAAACATATCTTAGCTTTACAAGTAACCTTAATGTGTTATACCTTAATAATATATTTAGGACAATTATATACCCCTGTGTGTGTGTATATATATATTTCTTTTTTCCTTTCTTTGAGATAGGGGTTTCTCTGTGTAGCCCTGGCTGCACTAGAACTCACTTTGTGGATCAGGCTGGCCTCAAACTCAGAGATCCACCTGCCTTTGCCTCCAGAGTGTTGAAATTAAAGCCTGTCTGGCTACATTTTTTTTAAATTAAAAAGATTGTTTTGTGTATGGGCGTTTTGTTTGTATGTATATCTGTGTCCCATGTTCCCCCCAAATTCAAGGTCTTTTCTTCTGTAATGTATACACGCATATGCATAGACAACATACCATGTCCATTTCGTGCCGCTTGATATATACGTGTCCGGGCTGACCACTTGGGATTCCCTGGAGGAAGTGGATTTTTCCTTTCTCAGTACCCATTGACCACCTTCATCTAGAGGTGGGACCTTGTGGAACTTTCCCCGTCCACACTGGCACACAGCCGGTGTCTTGTCGTGATGCAGGTCTTGTTCAGGAAACCATATTGCTGAGATTTCATGGGTCCGTTCCCTTTGTCTAGGGGGCGCTGTCTAGCAGCAGGCACCGTCTTCTGGCTCTTACAAGGTTTCCACCTCCCCGTCCGGTTATTGTTTGGTGTTGGGCGTCACATGGCCACTTACTCTCCGTGCTTTGTCCAGCCCTGGATCTCTGTAATAGCCTCCATCTGTCGCGCAAAAACATGCCTTTTTTGGATGAGAGTGATCGCTCCGCACCTGGCTTCTTTGTTTACCTCAGGTTACATAAAACCTTCATTTTTGCATTTCAGCATTTTACTTGACTCTAATTGAGAGATATCATGACAATTAAAACACTGGAGTTATCTTTTTGTAATAAAAGTGTTTTTGTGGTTTTGCTCATCTTGTAAAACACCGGGCTTGACAGTCCAGTTATCATGTACTCCAAGTAGTTCTAAAAACCGTGGAATTTGGAAATTTTATACCCTGTTGAAAGCTTCAAGGCTCTGGGGTGTTTAAATTGCCAATACCTTTAAAGAAAAGTTGTACTTAGTTCTTTACAAATGCAGCTTTCTTCGAAAAGAAACTTTTAAAAATGAACCATTCTCATCATTTGGAGAATTTGAGTGGCCAGCAGGGGGCAGCAGATTTTCATTATTATTTAAAAGTGATTTGCCAGAAAAGTGAGTTTTTAAAAATCGCGAGCTTTGAGTTATTTTATCTTATTTGACTTTTTTTCATTTCGTTTTTCATTTTAGACAGAGTCTTACTATCTAGCCCAGGCTGGCCTTCAACTGTGGACCAACCTGCCTCAACCTCCTGAATGCTGGAATTGCAGGCATGCACACCTACGCCTGGCAAAATATTTGAACTCTATGAATGCTAGTAGCATATAGGTATAGGGGGCTATGGAGAAGGATTCGTACTTAGTTCTTGGGACATCATCATGAGCACTGTTTCCATTTTTAACCCTTGTTTCATATATGTGTGTATATATATATTTGTGTATGTGTATACATATATATATATATGTGTGTGTATGTATATATATATATATATGTGTGTGTGTGTGTATGTGTGTGTGTATACCTCTTCCTTCCTATTCAGCTTCCATATATAGCCGCAGCAGCACAGTAGCTCCTACAGAAAGTCCTTGGTAACATTTTCATTTTGTAGAATGAATTGCCCAGTAAAAGGTGCCCGTTAGATGTACTCTCCTCTGTGTGTTCTTGTAGAACAATGTCATCTTTCTCCCTTTGTTCTGCCCTTTCACATGTTAGGGTATCTTCCTAGTCTTTGCTTCTTTTCTAATCCCACTGCCTTAAACACTCCATCCCCATCAATGCTTTATAGTTTTTTAAAATTTGAGTTCTTATGCTAATACCTCCTTATAGCTGTCAGGGACCATAGACATATTAGATCAGATCAATACTCTGTGATAGTATTTTTCTATTCTCCTGGATTTAAGGACAGTAAAAGCCTTATTAAAAGGACTACTCCAAGGCCAGATATGGTTGTTCTTGCCTTTGATCTCAGAACTGGGGAAGCAGAGACAGAGGCAGGCAGATTTTAAATTTGGGGCAAACCTGGTCTATATAGTGTGTACCAAGCAAGCCAAGGCTATACAGTAAAAACAAAAACAAAAACAAACAAACAAACAAACAAACACCACTCCAAGCCAGGCACAGCAGCACACACGTGTAACTTCAGCACTAGGAGTAGGGAGACCGTGAGTTTTGTGTGCAGCAGGGCTGACATAGAGACTTCAAGGTCAGCTCATACCTGTGAGGATACTATTTCAGAAAGAAAGTTCAGTTATGAAAGTACAGGATGTAGGGAGTTTGGAAGACTAGAAAAGGACAGAGGAAAATAAACGACACGACTCCCATTCATCCTTTAACTGTTAACATTTAGGATTCTAATTCCGGACGGTTGAGTTTGCGTTCATCCTCTTTGTAATGGGTTATGCTATTCTAATGTTTGATTTCCTAACTAGTATATTTTTAACATTTACACATTAGTATAACATATAGCTCTATCATAATATTTCCAAATCCACAGTATGAGATGTTTGGAACCAATGGTTCCAGTGTTTCTTTACCAGTACGAGGAAAGAGTCTGAGGGTGTGGGCTCTGAGCAAACAGTCTGAGGGTGTGGGCTCTTGTTGTTGGCTTTTGATCCTGAGGAACTGATGTCTGAAATGCTGACAGGCTGAGCTCTTACTGACAGTGTGTGCCTTCCATCTCGCCTCACACTTCCATATGCAATTACAAAGCAGCGAGTGACCAATCAAAAACAAGTCCACCATAGTTTTAGGCATTTAAAGTAGATTCATCCTAAATTTCTCTTATAGTTGACATCCCCATCCGTGCCCACTTCACCCATTTGTAACATGTACTGGTTTATTGTAAGAAACTTTTAAAAGAGCTTAAGAGCTCTTTTAAGCTTTTTTGCTTAAGAGCTCAAGGTAGCTTTGAATAAAAAAAGAATGATCAAATGTTGGCTGCTCAAAGTTATCCTAATAATGGCAAGTCATTTACAAACATGAGCTTGTTTGATCCCCACAATAGTTTTGGAGGTGGGAAATGTTTCATCTTGTATAGGATGTGCTTTAGGATGCACACCTTTGTGTCTGTGAAGCTGGATCCAGCTGGCCTAGTCAAATGAACACAGTGTTTGGTAAATTAACCTCGAGTGTTCATAAAAGGACGGTAAATGACTATTTTGTTAATTTATTTATTACTTTGGAGTCCTTTATGAATAGGTTACAGAGGCAGATGCTATTAGAGTCCATATGGCATCAGTATATTGGCCTTCTTTAGTGTTTATTGAAGCAAAATATGTAAGTCCAAACCAGAGCAGGGTGGTTTCATTGTGTGGGAGGAAATGGAATGTTCCCCAAATGACTAACCAACAATCTCCAAAATCAAAGATTTGTCCTGACAATGAATTCCTTTGGGTATCCTCTGAGCCCAGTGCTGGGGTTACACAACAAGCCATATAATAAAAATGGAAAGAGGCCAACATTTTCCCTGATTTGCTTCACACCAGGCTATAGTCATCAAGGTCCTTACGCTTCTGTAGTGCCTCTGCCTGCTCTAGTGCCTGGGCAATGGAGCTCTTCCCAAACTGAAAAAGCATTTTTTTCAGACAAGGAAAAAAAAAATCTTTCTCATCTTTCTTTTCAAGTGGAGTTAGAGTGTGATGAAGTAAGCCAAAAGCCAGGCCAAGTAGAATTTTATTTTATTTTTCTTTGTGATTGATTCATCAGTATCTACAGAACATGGAGACAAGAGACAGCGCTACATGGTATATATTGCTGTTGCTTCAGTTTCGGGTACTTTTATGACCTTTCTTTTTGTCTGCAGACTAATTTCTTTCAGGGTAGCTGGAATTATGGGAGTTAATGATCTCTTTAATGTAGAACATAACTTTCATTATAGGACTTATTAGCTCAAAAGGAACAGTCTTGAACAGTATGACAACCTTATTTTTTTTTTTTTTTTTTTTTTTTTTTTGTCTTAGAATCTGGGAAGCCCTCAATCTGTGGCTAAGTGGCCACAGGATAGTCTCATGAATTACACAAGGAAGGGACTAGAATAAGGGGGCTCGAAGAAGCACAAAGCTGTTAGCCCTAAACATTTGTTGTGAACACAATGTCGCAATAGTAAATTAAGAGATGAAAAGTAATGTAATTTTTAAGAGACCACTTGGAATTAGTACAGTGGTGTATAATTCTGCCTATGTGTTTAAACAAGCAGATTTTGACTGTTAAACCACTAATTTTTTTTCTCCCCAAGCTCCATCCCAAGTGAGTGCGCTTTAGTTAAATGTCCTCAGAAATCTTTTCCTCCTACCCCTGTTCAGTTTTATAGGAAGAATAATGTTTTTTCTTAAGCCAAGTTAGAATGATAATGCTCCTGTCCTCACCCATGATCTCTGCATTATGTGCTTCTGGGCTCTGCTGGCTCTGCTGTAAAGCGAAGTGGATTTCTTTGTCCATTGGAGAAAAGTTCTCTGCAATGGGAACCTCCACCTCTGAGTTGTTTTGTTCACGTAGGATATAGGCACATGGGTCTGTGGGGCGAGCACGGCCTACGTGTATGGAGGGCAGAAAGGGCATTGAGTCTTCCTTTCTCATTCTCTGCCTTGATCCTTTGAGGTAGGGTCTCATGCTGAGTCTGGAGTTCGGTTCCCAGCACTGAGGTTGAGGTTGCACCGTGTGGTTCCTGGGGGTCGAGGTGGTGGTAACTGGGATCTAAGCTTCTATCTTCATGCTTACTCAATGACCACTCAACCACACAGCTATCTTTTCAGCACCCTCCCACCATAGGCTTTTCAATTTAATTTTTAACGACAAGAGTTTAGTAGAACACATCTTTTGAGAGTTAAATCTCAGAATCTTGTAATCAAAATGGGAAAAGATTCATAGACATCAAACGTTGAATGTTTGGGGAGTCCCAGTTATGACTGCTTCAGTTTTTTTTTTATTCAGAAGTTTATAAACTTTCTGCCTGGCTGAGATTAGGATGTTAATTCAAAACATCAAAATTTCTCTTATTCCCTTATCCATCATCTTCGAAATGTATGTTATTTATTAAAGTGTGGCTATTTCCCACATTCTGTCTACCTCTTTCTTATTGCTAGACCTCCGCAGCTGTGTAAATCTCTCTACAAGGTTGTCACTGGCCTCGTTATTGTTGTGTGGATAACCCTGCTTTTTTTTCCTGATGGGATATTATTGGAGATTTCTGGATCTTCTTTAAAAAAATTTTAAAATATAGTATTGTCTTTGAAAAAGTAATAGATTGATAACTATAAGCTTTAAGTGATGTAGTGGATTATAATCATAAAAAATAGATTTTAAAGATTTTTTTCTTTCCATGAAGTACTCATCATATAAAAATATCTGATTCGTGAATAGTGTGTGTGCTGGCTAGTTTTATGTCAACTTAATACAAGCCATAGTCATTTTGAAAGAGGAAACCTCAATTGAGAAAATGCTCCCACCGGACTGGTCTGTGGGCAAGCCTGTGGTGCATTTTTCTTGATTGATGAATCATGTGGGAGGGTCCAGCTCTCTGTAGGTGGTGCTACCCCTGGGTTGCTGGTGTTCTAAATAAGCAGACCGAACACGAAGTAAGGAACAAGCCAGTAAGCAACCTTTCTCCATGGCTTCTCTTCTGCCTCAGTTCCTGCCTTGAATTCCCTCAGTGATGAACTGTGATGTGGAAGTGTAAGCAAAAAAAAAAAAAAAAAAAAAAAAAAAAAAAAAAAAAAAAAAAAAAACTAGACCGAAACCAAAACAAAAACCCTTTCCTCCCCGAGTTGCTTCTGGTCATGGTATTTTATCACAGCAATAGAAACCCTAACTAAAACAGTTACATTAATTTGAATTCTTAAAATGTGTTTTGTTCCTCAAAGCATCTAGTTTCTCTCCCTTTTACCACATCCCCTGCCGCTATTCTTTACAAAACTAGAACATGTCCTGTCTTACAGTCTAATGGGACATTGTAAAGGTTCATTCATGAATGTGAGCACACCTGGAGTGAGAGATGGCTTTCTCTGAATTCTCTCCTGAGATTACCTTCCTAGAGAAAAGGATGGGCACAGACTGAAAGAGTGCATATCCGCCTCCTTGCAGGCGAGATGTTTTAGAATCCTAATGTTGAGTCTGTTTGCTTCTATGACAATCAGGTATAAGATTTCATGGGGCCTGTAAAAGATTTGGAAAGCGAGAGTGTTCATTTTTTTCTTTCTTGAATGCAGAAAGCTGTGGAGTTCTAAACGAAATGTGTAACTATCATTTGGATTCCCTCTGGCTGTCTTTTGACAGCTTGGATACAGTAGCAGAATCTACTGGAGAGATATATAAGGTCTTTTCATGAAAAATTTTCTTCTTGCAAATCTCTCATTCTCTTTCACTCTAGTAAAGTACATAGAAATATGGAGAGAGAAGTTGGTTGTTCAGTATCTAGACAATAATAGTACATCCAAAATTTCATTAATTTCTATATTTTATATGTAATTTGCATTAAAATATTTTTGTTATATTGAAAACATATTAGTGTGTAATTGACCAGGTTGGAAAAGTGATAGGGTTCTTAGATATCTCTATTATTTGTTTTGAATAATTTTTGGAGTCACCCCTGGCTAAAATTCTTTAAATAGTTAAAACAAATTTCTTTACAATGATGTCGAAGCCCATATACATAAAATTTATGGTATTCTCAAAGAATTCCATGGATCAGACTCTCATACTTGCTGACTTTGCTCTTTAGGCAATGAATCGCTCCCTGGCTAATGTCATCCTTGGAGGCTATGGCACTTCTTCAACAGCTGGTGGAAAACCCATGGAAATTTCTGGCACCCATACAGAAATCAACCTTGACAATGCAGTTGAGATGATCCGGGAAGCTAACAGCATTGTTATTACCCCAGGTAAAAAAAAACACATAAAAGGAAAACATAGAAAAACTAAACAACGTACCATGGCTGTTGCGACTGGTTACATTGATAGGAAAAAGGTACGTCGAAACCTCCCCATTAAAGGTTTTTATTAGTTCTTTGAGAATTTCATACAGGCTTGGATCATATTCATTGCCAGTCCTTCTGAGATCCATTCCTTCTCTGTAAGTAGAAGCTTCACAGATGAGGACTGAGAGATACACTGATCTATGGGAATTAAGATAAGTCTGTAGAAGTCAGTTTAATACCATGTCTCTTTAGCAGCATAATAGTAGTAGGTTTTCCTCTAGGGCCTACGGCCTGTCTAGCCACAGGGACCTCCTTATTTGAAAAGACAATGGAGACAGTAGCCATAAAATGGTCATTGAGTGAGAATACTGGGCACTCTTAGTTAGATCAATATTTTAGAATAACATAAATAGTCTATCAACTGATGTAGCAGATTCTAGCCATCGTTTTGAGCTTCTGTACATCTGGTAAGCTATTGTTGAGACTTACTTATTGTTACTTTTAGGATATGTAGTATTAAGTTAGGTATAGCCTGTGGAAGTGTCTGACTCTTTCATTAGACTCAGTAAATGTTAGTCTCTTTTCGAAAACCATTTGTTTACGAGTTCATCAAGAATCTCTGTGGTTTTCTGAAGTGGTCTCCATTGGTTGCAAAGTGAAGAGAGGTGAGGACTACAGTCCCCTGTGGGTGTAAGGACAGATGTCTAGATGATTGTTAGGGATTATGCAGACTTAGTGAGTGGTTCCTGATCATGTTAGACGGTATGACTTAGAAGAAAGAGCTCATCTTGTACTTGTAGTTTTGGCTGGTTAAAGAGGTGGACTGTAAAGAACTTGTCACGGGAGTCCCAATATGTCACTTTTGTCCTTAATTTTGCCTCTAACAGCCCGTATAATATAGGCCAAGTCATTTAATATCTTTTGGTCACGGTTCCTAATGTGTACGACTGGGTTTGATTTTTCATGTTTGTCACAGAATGTCAGATTAAGATTTTAACTCTCATGCCATTATGGGAGTTTTCCATGAAGAAAGACTACTTACTGACTTGACACGTGGGCAATTTACTGGTTGAGAGTGTAGTCCGATAAGAGTAACAAATGTAAGGCCAATTTGATATTTTAATGTGCACCTCAATACAAGCAGTATTACTCTTTAAGACATTTGAATGGTAGATTATGGTTGTTACAGATCCGAGACTACTGTTGGCAGTTAGTGTGTGGGAATACACTGTAATGTATGGGACATACCTGCATAGTGAGTTGTCCTAGCCAAAAGGCAACGATGTGGCTCACTGAGAAGCTATGCCTGTGTGTAAGCGTATGACAATGGACAGGACACGGTATCTTTCCTTCAGGAACTGTCTATCCCAGTTTAGAAGTCAGATAGGGAAATAAATAATGCCAAGTGTTTTCTGACAGTGGCCAAACTGGACTGTGTAGACAGTTTTTTTTTTCCCCTAAAGAAGAACCTAAGAAGGGTTGTATGGAAGTTAGGAATTGTTTTGAGCCTTAGAGGATGGGTGGTGGTGTGGACAGGAGAAGGCAGAGATTATAGCTACAGCAAAGAGTTGGCATTTGGCAAGAAGAACTAGAAGAGTAACAGATGTGGGTCACTGTACACAATCTTAGAGTTAAGGGAGAAGGGAGTAGATGGACACTCTTGGTTATACCTCTACAAACCTCAAGTGGAAAGGACCATTTTTTTATTTATTTAAATATGGAGTAGAGTGGGAGGAGAAGGGCTTTCAGTTCTTTTTCTTTGAAGGCATTGGGTTCGGACAGTGATCATGTGATACTGGAACTCAACTGTAGGTCGAACCAGGAGGACTTGGCACAGTTGCTTGAGTCCTGGGGTGAGCTAAGATTTAAGGAGAGGCAGGGACAAATCGAAAGCCTCAAGGGAAGATGTGACTATTTAAGAAGGAGAACAGAAGAACAAAAACTAGTCAAGGTATTAGAGGTAGGGTGGTAAGTAACAAAGCCAGGAGTGAGCACATAGGACTACAATGACATCAAAGACAAATATCCAGAGTTGAAAAACCCATGGATGTGGGCATGGACTAGTATAGGCACATGGAATGTAGCAGGGACATTCTGAAGCATGAGGCTTATGGAAAGGTTCAGGAGGGCATCATTAGATTTTGAGTTTCAAAAAGTTCAGACTATAAGTCCGCTTTCATTTAGTCCAGTTAACTGCCCATGTTGTCATAGAAGTACGGTTGGATCAAGAGGGAAGTTATAATCTGTAAGATGTCAAAGATAACACTACATTCTTTTGTGTTCCCTCGCAGGATATGGGCTCTGTGCAGCCAAAGCTCAGTACCCCATTGCCGATCTGGTGAAGATGCTTACTGAACAAGGCAAAAAAGTCAGGTTAGTGCGCTACGTGTAAATGTTTGGGTGTGAAGGGAAGGGCATAGTGGAGAACTTTAAAAAGTGACACTTAAGACAAGTGACCCTAGGGGAAGAGATGAAGGTGTCAAGAAGCCTCCAGGCTCACAACGTTGTTGTTGCTGCCGCTTGCCTTTTGAGCATTGGATGGGTGTAAGGCAGAGGAGTGGAGGACTGTGCATACCTTGATCGTTCCCCATGGATCTCAAGGAACATGAAAACAGGGCTCTTGGAGGAAGAGCTCAATGACTGTTGCGGTACTGAGCTTCTGTTCTATTCCCCTCTGAGTCCCCACGAAGGGACATTGTTTCTTGGCATCTAGGAAAGACAGCTCTTGAGGTCTTCCCTCCTAGGAACGCTGCTGTTTATTTCTGGATTCTCTAGCCGTTGTGTTGACTTGGTCCCATAAATAAGAGGCTCAAGATAATTCATTGAATGGGATTCATTTAATGTCTATTCACCAGATTGTTAATGTCTGTTACTAATAATTCCTTTTAAATGTCAACTGTATGCTTTTGTCTTGGGGCAGACGATAAAGTGGACCCATCCATGCCTCCTTTAGAATCATAAATGGATGGGACATTCATTCATAAATGAGGTCAGAGGTCACTTACAGGGTCTTAGTATCAGCTGAATTTAACTTCTTCCCACTGTTTATCACGGCTCTAACCCTGCCTAAAATCTATGGTGTGTGCTTTTTCAGTACATGAAGTGTCGAGATGCTATTTTATGGTAGGAACATTGTATGGTAGAACATTGTTCTGATGCGGAAGATTTTCATATTTGGTGATGATATTAAATAAATTGGAGATGAGAAAAGTCACTGACTTTAGTTTTTCATCAAAGTATTTAAAAAAGGACTCATTTTTTGTTTTTTTTTATTCTTATTTCATATCAGTGATTAAGCTATTATTTCTTTCTTAGCCACAGTCTTCTATTTCAAAGCACTTGCAAGCCTACAAGTGAGAAGGATGTGTTAAAGAGCCTTGTATAGTTTTCCTAAAAAGGAAACGACTTTCTTTATTCAATCCACATGTGAAAAAGTCCAATATATTAGTAATGCCTCCCATCACCGTGTGAGTGTTTAGGGGCTGAGTGGTGATCGCAATGAAACAGAGCATGAGAGATGGCCTTTGTGTTTTGATTATCCTCAGCGAAGGAGGCCTGGATGTGGCATACCTCTCTTGTTACTCACTGATCAGCTGAGTTTAACAAGACAGCTTAGAAAATCAGTTCCACATCAGAAGAGTAGATGTGGAATTGAAGCCTGTTATCTGAAGGGCTGAGGAAGTAGCCCAGTAGGCAAAGTGTTTGCTGTACAAGGATGTGGGTCTGAGTTTGATTTTCAGTACCTATGTGAAAAGGAAGGCATGATGCCATGTGCTTGTAAGCCTAGGGCTGAGGAGGTAGAAACTGGTGGATCCTGAAAGCTCACTGGCCAGCGAGCCTAGCCTAATTGGCAAGCCCCATTACAGTAAGATGGACAGTTTCTTGACTTTTGGCCTATGTGCACATAGAAACCCACAGAGACACACAGACACAGACATGGACACACACACACACACACACACACATACACCACATAGAAAGTCACAGATACACAGAGACATATACACACAGACATGCACAGACATGCAGAGAGACACAAAGAGAGACACATGTAGACACACACAGTGAGAAAGACAAAAACATATATAGAAAAATCATTGTGTATTGTACTTCTGCATAGGAAGAGTAATTATTTAAGGTTCATAAGACATTTAACTATACATCTATAAGGAGATTATCCAGCTATAAGTTATAGATTATTGAAGCAATTTTGTGAATATAATAGAAACCTTTTCGTGAAAACATCCTGTGGATTCGCATAATTGTTGAAAACACTTGTTTTTTTTATTTTATTGTTTCCTTTATTAAGTTTTACATTTATTTTTTATTGGATATTTTATTTACATTCCAGATGTTATCCCCTTACCCCATTCCCCCCCCCCCCCGCCCAGGAACCCCCTATCCCATCCCCCCTCCTTCTGCTTCATGAGGATGTGCCCCTACCTACACCCCCACTTATAACTCATAATGTAGAATCCAAATAAGATTATTACTTAGTCTGATTTCACTAGTTGTGAGTTATAGATACTGGCTTCTGTTCATCTGCCTTTTGTTTTCAAGATGGACTTACATATGACAAATACACTTTTCACTATTATGTGTTGGATTTTCAGCCAGCATAGGCTCTGTGACATGGGGTTTTGGATTTCTCAGTTGAATGAAATGGAAAGGAATTGTTCCTTTAAACATGATGACAGTAGTTTGTCACACTTTCCCAGTTTCTGTGTGGATTTTCTTTACTAGGGAAATCAGGTAAACTCTGATTTATGTGTGTGTCATCATCTTTTTATAGGGGAAATGAAAATTTTTTTTTAACCAAGTACACAGACAGGCACACAGACAGACAGACAGACAGACAGACACACACACACACACACACACACACACACTGTAGGGTTTTTTTTTGTTTTTGTTTTTTTATAAAGAGCCACATGTCTGAACGAGAGGTTGCTGCCGTGGTTACCTTGTATTTTAATGAAATAAATCTGTATTTACAGTTCGTGGTAATTTCACCCTTTCATCACTCAGTGGAGCTCCCACGGTGTTCATTGAGTGCAGCTGCTGGGCCCCTGGGCTTCGTAGGTCTTTGTGCCTCAGGACCTCAACATGCCTAGCATCCAGATGCAGTGACATATTCACACACTTCCTGGAAACATGCCAATACGGACATACGATTGTCATCAATTAGTTACGTCTGAGTGGTGCCAAGAGAAATCGCATCTGTCATAGAGTCTGTCTGGCTTTCATGGCCCATGATTGACTTAGAGACACTACTGTTTTCCTTCGCTTTGGCCACAGTCATAACGTGCTCTCAGAGGCTTGAGGTTATAACGAAGCACGCAGCATTTCATGACAAGAACTCATTTTGGGTCGCCAATGTCATGAAAAGTTAGTGCTTAAGATATCATTAGATTCTCAGTCGTTTAGTCAGTCAGCTTACAAAACTTATGCTGGTTTTTGAACATTTTAAAGTGAATTCCATTTAATGAGTAGATCCAGGAGAATAAAGCAGGATACTGCTCAGGGAACATTTTCAATGATCTGTACTAGTAACATAAACTGTTTGCAGGCTTAAAAAAACTGTGTGTGTGTGTGTGTGTATGTGCATTTGAACTACTTCATTTAACACACCAACTTGCCTATGATGTTTGCAGCTTAACAGTGTTTTACTGTCTTATGTCATGTAGCTATGGTTTATGCTTTTTTTTTCCCTAAGAAATCAGTCCTCAACACACTTTAAGAGGAAATATTTTGAATCTTTAACTAGATTCAAATAGGGAAAGTTCAGGTTTCTATTATGTGTTGTGTTTAGGGCACAGAAAGAGCTACCACATGCAGATTTGTGATGTTATAAAGGCACATGCTTCTGAAGGGAGTGCACTGTGGGCCAGATGAATGATCTAGTAGAGAATCTGAATAGCGATCAGCAGTATCTGGCAGTCTCATGATAGTTTTGTAGAACACCTTTCTTAAGGATATGACTGTTCTTATTGATGATCAATCAATCACTGAACAAAGAACTGTGTAGTACTTTGTTCCAGGTACTATTCTAGTTCCTGGGGATAGATCAGTGAATAAAATATTCACGTTCTTAGTGCTTATCTTAGTTACTGTTCTATTGATGTGAAGAAACCATGACCAAGGCAACTCTTTGGGGGAACTGCTTGTAGTTTCAGAGGGTTAGTCCGTGATCATAATTGCAGGAAGCAGACAGACATGGGAGTGGAGCAGTACCTGAGCACCTTGCATCCTGATCCATAGACATTAGGCACAGAGAAAGAGAGAAGAAGAAGGAGAGGGAGAGGGAGGGGGAGGGGGAAGGGGGAAGGGAGTGAGGGAGAGAGAGAGAGAGAGAGAGAGAGAGAGAGAGAGAGAGAGGCAGAGAGAGAGAGAGAGATTGATTGAGATTGAGGTTGGGTTTAATATGGGCTTTTGAAAACATCAAAGCCCACCCCCAGTGATACACCCACTCCAAGAAGACCACACCTACTCCAGCAAGACCACACCTCCTAATCCTTCCCAAATCGCCCCACTAACTGCAGACTAACCTTTCAAACATTTGAGCCTATGGGACCATTGACAATCAAATGACCCACAGTGCTACAGGGCTTACATTTACTTGAGAGGTTAGGTAGTAGGATTTTAGGATTCAGTTCTGAACTGGGGGACATCTCTTCTTTCTTTTTTTTCCTATTAATTTATTTATTTATTTATTCATTCACTTTACATCCTGATCTAAGCCCTCACCTCCTCTCAGCACCCCAATCCCCTTCTCCTCTGAGAAGGGGGATGCCTGTAGGACATTTCTAACCGGCAAGTCCAGATGCAAACTGAAAAGAGGAAGAGAAGTAACACCATAGGTTACTGGTAAACATGAGTTAGCTAGTGCTTCTGCTGCCTTGTGCTTGGCTGACTTGCCAGCTTGAAAAGCATAGAACCAGTTTCCTTGAGAAATAGAGGACTGCTTTGTCAACAGCAGAACTTAAAAAAGCCACAAGTTTGCTTCCTTGTTATTGTGCTTTCTAACTTTAATTAATGTGCTTTTACTCCTGAATTTATAAAGTGTTGGCCTTCCTCTGTATATGCTTTTCGTTACAAGCTTTTAGATACTGTCAGATGAAAAGATTCATTCTCACCACTAGAGACAAAGGTCCGGGGCAGGTGTTGCCTATTAAACTTCATGTTGTTGTTGTTGTCAAAAAAAAGAAAGAAAGAAAGAAAGAAAGGAAGGAAGGAAGGAAGGAAGGAAGGAAGGAAGGAAGGAAGAAAAGCATAGTGGGAAGAGGGTGAGAGTGAGGTTGTTTGTGCAGTTGTTCAATCAGTAAACCTTTGGCAGCAGAGAGAAGAAGGAAAGCAAGTACATGACACACTCA